GGGGGGGGGGAGCTGCATGCAGCTCGCGTTGGCCACCCCTGTTTTAGCTGATTAACAGGACATCTGTGGGGGTTCTAAAATATAACATGAGCCACATTTTGTAATGAGGATTTCAAGATACAAGGGGCACAGTTTTCCCCCTTCCAGGGAAAACCCTGTGGCATTTTAGCCTTTGCTTCTCTTTTAGATTTCACTCGCCCCACAAAGCACTTTGAGTAGATCATCTGTGTGTGAGACTGTTTGTTTGATTTTGTTTTTGGAAGTTAGCTCTCAATATATGGATTTTTAAAACGTGTTTTGGGGTAAATCCCTAAAACTTTCATAGCAGGAGATGACAAATAAGCTTACTTTATGCATTCATTTGGAGTGTTTTGTGGAGTAATTTGAATTATTTTCTGCTTCAGTAGGAAGTGCTGTAAGCTAGCTTCTGTTGTTGCTCCAGTTTAAGAAAAAACAGAACTAGTGCCCTGCAGGAGTCTGCCTGGGAATTTCAGCTGTCTGTTGTGAATTTTGGCTGGTGACAAAGGGCTGGGTGAGGTACAGGATTCCCTATAGAAATGAAAACAGTTGGCAACAGGGAGTGCTTGGGTCAGAGCCATGACTGATATCTGAGCCATCTGTGTACTGACATGAGGTGTTAATGTTCTTCATGGGGAGACTTGGGATAGCAGAAGTGTCTATGCTGTAGTGCCTTCTCCCATATGTCAAGGAACAGCAGGGTAAGATAACTTGCTGGTCCTCTGGATCCCAGGGGTTCCTTTCTAAAAAATACACACCCTACTTTTTAGGCTAAAGAGGTGGTGTAAGAACTCCTTTTAAAATGAATAGAGCAGCTTTGTGCAGGAGCTTTGAGTGCTCTGTAGTCAGAGGTGGGGGAAAAATAACTTTTCAGTTTGAAGGGCCTTTACCTTTGATGGGAAACATCTTGAAAAGCAGTGTCCCAACTTTCAGGCATGGGTATCGCGTACATTGGAGGAGGAGACGGCACTTGGTCTCTAGATTAGGGTGAAATGGAAGAGTAGCTGCTCTGTGGACAGACCTTTACATCAAGTCATCTTTTTGTTCACCTGCTATCTCCTTCCCAAACCTCCCGCCCCTCCACTAGACTCCCTACAGAAAAGTCCGGTGCTGGTGCCCTTGCTTTTCTTTGAAGTAGGACTTCAATCAGAATGCAAAGAGCAACTGTGACGGACACCTGAGTCGCATAGTGAGTCCCTTCAGACATCTGACAAGTAGAGCCGTGGATATCCACACACCTGTTTTATGGTGTATGGATCAGGTGCAGATATAAACGTTGTACTTAGAGCCCTGCACATCTGCAAATATCGGCTTTTTGAGGATTAGATGCAGTCATGCATTTTGTATCTGGACAGGGCTCTTCTGATTGCCTGTTGCCTTCCCCCTACTTAACATAGATGTTAAAATGTGGCTTTTCTTATATGCTGGCAGTTTCAAATATAGAGCTGTGTTGGAAATGTTTTTTTTCTTGCTATTTTACGTACAGGAATTTGGGAAGATGCAGACATTTCCTGCCCCCCCCAACATCAATATTATGCAGTCCTTGCTCCCCTTCCCCTCACACACTGAGGAAGTTCTGTTAAGATGAGCAATCCTTTCCTTTTACACCTTGTTCTGTAACTTTCTAATGGTTCCAGAAATTTTTATTCTCAGCTATATAGGTGTGCAATTGGTATGTACCATTAATGGCTGCCACACTGCACTCTGCAGGAATGGTGAAGTGTATGGTATGTTCCAGCATACTGGATGGTTTGTAAATGACTTTGGGCTGAAACAGGTAGCTGAAATGATTGGCACATCACTTGAATGCACAATACAAATGTAAGCTTCCCCCTCTTCGGCCTGTTTGGGAAGGCAAAGTTCAATTCTTTCTGAGCCTGACAGGTGCTACAAACCTGAAGGCTATAATCTTAGCCCACTAGTGTGTGGTACCTGATGGTTTTATGAAGGCTAGCTCATCAGTGTGGCACAGCAATAAAAATGTTTTCTTCTGTGGGGAAACCTTAACAACAAAATGATTGATCACCTCTATTCATACTGATTAAAGTTGTGACTCAAGAGGAATTTGGATGTTCATCTTTTCTATTGCTTACTGTATTAACTTCTATAGTTGCCACTTTCAATTTTTCCTCCAATGTTTCTAATGTCATTGTCTTTCAAGTTGATTTAATTTTTCTTTGGCTACTGAAGCACATCATTTTGCATAATGTTTATAAGGCAGACATCTCTGTTTGTTGGCTCCCTCCTCCCCCCTGTTTCCCCCCCCCATCTCAATTAATTCTGTTGGTTTTGGAATGAGGAAAAATTTTCTGTAATCATTTCTTTGGTGCAATAGACTCTTTAGAGCATGTTGCATTGGGAGAAGGAGGGAGGTGAATGTGTTTTTTTTTGTTTGTTTGTTTTTTTCCTTAGCATATTGGAACTGTACATGTTCTTGATGGTACATAGGCTTGCTTTCATTTGTTTTGTTTTAATTAATGGTAATCCTTATTGCGCAGGACCTCGGACTCTATATAAAATCGGTGGCCTTTTACACAAGGGAGGGAAGGCTTATGGTTCTTAATGAACTGCGTAGAAGAAGCATAATAGTCTCTGCCAATGTGGTATTACCAAGACTGGTTTTCCACAAGAGTTGATTATATTCATAGGTGTATGCTGAAAAGAAAAGTCAGTTAATATTTTTGTTGACAATCAGGAGTCTTGCGTAGGAAATGTGGCTACTAAGGCTTCTGGATTTTTTTGTTTTCTGTTAAATTGTATTTGCCTCCTTCTATTCTTTTCCGTCATCAACAATTCTGCTACCTTTGTCTAGATGACAGCAGAACCTCGAGCCAGCTGGATGAATTTCAAGAGTGCCTCTCCAAGTTCACTCGCTACAATTCGGTCCGACCTCTGGCCACGCTGTCTTATGCAAGTGATCTCTATAATGGCTCCAGCATAGTATCCAGGTATGAAATGTGGTGCAAGTGAAACAAACAATGCAGTGAGGAGAGTGCCAACTAAGGCTGAGAGCACTGAGCTCTCCATTTGCAGTGCCATAATTTTGTACTAGTGTCTGCCTGTGCTTTTATTTTTCTTTCCAAATGTTCTGTACACTCACTGGTTCTCATTGACCTATAAATATTGGGCTCCTGCCTTTGTACATTTTACTCTCAGCTAGCATATGTCCAGAGAGTGGGTTATTATGCAGAAAAAGAATGCTTCACCTTAATTGAAGTGAAGCAAGCATAGACAGTTTCCTTACCTAGTCACGGATCTCAACGTATTTGAGGACTTGTTAGGTTCCCCTTCGGTCTTTTCTCAAGACTAACCGTGCCTAGGTTTTAACCTTTCCTCATTGGTTTGCTAAACCTTTTTATCATTTTTGTTTCTCCCTTCTGGACACTCTGATTTATTTTCTCATGTTCAAGTACTGTGCCCAAAACAGGACATAATACTCCAGCTGGGAGGCCCTTATAAATGTTGAATAGAACAGAGCAGTTACTTCTCATGTTTTAGATATAACACTTCCACCCCAAATATTTGCCCTTTTTTCGGAGCTGCATCATATTGTTGGCTCTTGATCAATTTGTATTTTTCTAAGCCCCAGATCCCTTCCAGTCATCCTACTACCTATTCACTATTCCTCATTTTCTGTGTGCATCTGATTTTTTTCCCTTACCTAAGTGCAGTACTTTGCATTTATCTTTATTGAATTTCATCTTGTTGACTTCAGACCAATTCTTCAATTTATCCTGATGTTTAGAATTGGAATCTTGTCCTCCAAAGTTCTTGCAACCCGTTTCACCTTGGTGTCATCCACAAATTTGATGAGCACACTATTGAATTAGTACTGAACCAAGGACAGACCCCACTAGGAATGTCCCCTAGATTGATAGTGGGCAGCTGAAAACTGTCGTGTGGCAGCTTAGACTAACAAATATATAGAATCATTTGATAAATGTTAGATGAATCTGAATATTTGTTGAAAGCAGCAGGAAATGTTAAATTTTGTGCAAACAAATCAGTGCATTTTTACTGTAAAGAAATTTAAAAAAAAACATTGATCCCTTATCTATGCACTTTAACTAGTGTGTGTCATGGCAAAACTAGTGAGGTCAAAATGCAATAATCACTAACGTGATATGTTTTAACCTTTGCTGATTAAGTTCATGGTGGCTGTGGGAAAATGCAGATATTCTGTGATAGACAAGCTTCTTTAGCCATTGAGTTCATATTGGATTGGATCTTGCTTTTCAGCCCTTTCTGGACATTTTGCAAGAATGGTATTTGGTTAGAAAATTGGAATGACAGTAAATGACAGTAAATTGCACTATTTGCTTTGAAGGAATTAGTCATGGAACAATGATGCTTTTTACAGTGTTAAAGGTTTTTTGGGCCTCCTTTTCTATCTTTAAGAATAGTGCTTAGTTGTACCTGTTGGATTTTTTTTTTATTTTAGCCAAGAAAATAATTTGATCTGGCAATTTCACATTTTTGGTTAATAGCTTTTGATTTAGCAAAGCATGTTAAATATGTGAGTAGTCCCTTCAAAGCTGAGTTGAGCTGTCCAAATGCTTAACTTTTAGCATGCTCTTCCATGGCTTACTGACATGGATCCTGAATTTGAATAAATATGACCACACTCAGAGAGTGTTGCTCTATTGAAGCCCTATAGACAGCTTTCAACCATCCAAGCTGTTCCTTTTTTAAAGTTGAAGCTGCAACCAAGAACAGTATATTGTTCTCTGGGGCTATGTCTATACTGCTTTCTTCCTTTTGCAAAAGCCTATGCAAATGAAGTGTGGATTAGCATATTACTGTGCTTCATTTGCATAATTAATTAGGGGCCGTTTTTGTGCTAAAAGGAGCTGTGTAGATGGCTCCTTGTTGCGCCAAAACCCCCTCTTGCGCAAGAGCCGTTCTTCCTAAAAAAAGAGGAAGAATGGCTCCTGCGCAAGAGGGGGTTTTTGTGCAAGGAGGAGCCATCTACACAGCTCCTTTTAGCACAAAAACGGCCCCTAATTAATTATGCAAATGAAGCACAGTAATATGCTAATCCACACTTCATTTGCATAGGCTTTTGCAAAAGGAAGAAAGCAGTATAGACATAGCCCCAGAGAACAATATACTGTTCTTGGTTGCAGCTTCAACTTTAAAAAAGGAACAGCTTGAGTATCAGTCTTCATCACCCCATGCTTTCTGCTTTTTACCACCCTTTTCTCTGTTCCTAATTGATAAATGTGCAACTTTGGAAGAATCCATCCCAAGTGATAATGGAACCCATGTTTTGGAGAGGTGGCAACTAGGTTGTATAAAGGGACAGTTCAGCAGTGATTGACTGGTTGAAAGTAACCGTGTCGGGAGGCCTTTTTTTCCTTTAAAAAACCCTCTCAGTGATAAAGGTGATTTGGGAGGAGGTTGGAGAGAAATGCGTAGTGTGAATTGGTCCAGTAATGTGCATGTTCCTGGTACATGCAATAAAAAGCAAATCATGTCAAATTTTTGCAATTTCTTACTGTCAGGATACTTGCTTTAAGAATACAAATCTTAAAGCAAGCAAGAATCAAGTATCAAGGGAAAATTATTCTGTTAAGTAACAAATTGAGAGAAAATTTGCCACAAGCTGGAAAAAATACTGTTTTGCAACATCCTTAAAACTATATGCTTGTTGGGCTTAAACTGCTTTCTATAGAATGCCTGTTTATTTACAAGAACAGTTCAAGAGCTATTAGTTTTTCGGCTCTCAGAAGAGGACTGTCTAATAGTGTTTCCCATACTTTAGAAATGGAAATACAACCAGTACATAATTTCATTTTGTAGTGGGACAAGAAGGGATGGTAGTTAAGGGAAGTGGCAGACCACAGAGCTGAGGAAATGAAGTAGATAATCAACCGAAGGCAATAGAACCTTCTGATTGAGAACAAAATATCAAAATAAATCTCTAACAAAAGAATTAGTCCTCCATTTAATTTCTCTTGTGTTCATTTTTAAGTACATAGTTAACACAACAGAAGTTGTCGTGTAATTTTAAACAGGTGCCCCTTTCTTGTGTTCACTCTTCCACTCCATCCCAGTATTGTGTGTTGAGGTTTTACCCCTTTGCATTGTGTTTGTGTTTAGCCAGTTTTATAACCATCAGTCCACAAGGTGGCAGCCTTTATTTACTTTGCAAGCTGTGTCGCACCAGTGTTGATGACTTGCAAGCCTGTATCCTGCATGCCTTGATGAGAATTTTTCTGACTGCATGTGGCCTTTGTTAAATAAGATCACTAGTAGGATGAGAGAGAACTGGGTTACTTCTCTCTGAAGCAGTGAGCCCGTCACAAGTGAGAACTACAGTCTCTGTTCCAAAGAAATAGGAAATGTACTTAGAGAAGTGTATATAATAAACATGTTCAAGGCTTTACAGCAGCTGGTCATTCAGTGTTGGCTTGGAAAGAATTTTTAACACAAGTGTGCATGTGGCATCTTTATAAAATAGTTTTTTATGATGGGGATGTAGCTGTGACCAAGCAGCCTTTTAGTACTCTGGCATCTGTCGCCTTCCCAAATATAACAACTTGTTTTTAAAGATTTGTCTAAAATCTTAAATTTGTAATGTAGTCTGACACCCAGCTGTGCCAGGTCAGATCTTTGGGATTTAACTTTTTCTTTTCGCCTACTGTAGAAGTAGATAGTAGAAAGCTTTCTGTTAAAGGAGAGACTATAAGCTGCTGTTAGCTTTACTATGAGATGTATATTAAAAATATATGAAATAGCTTTAGCACTGATAAGCAGAGCCCTTGAAAGAATAAGATGGCAAAGCCCTTCCTAATCCAAGCAACAACCTGCAGCCTAGACCTCAGTTACTTGAAGCCTCGATAGCCAAAAGCAGAGTATGATCCTCATGAACAACTAGCACCTGAATCTGGTGGTGAAGTTGGTTCTGCAGAGTGAACCTTTGGGAAGCGTGTTGAAGGCTTTGCAGTCTACACAGATTTTTAGTCTGCTGGGTTGGGCCCCTGATGCCCTTAAAAGTTTTGAGTAACCTTTTTAGACCACAGAGAATTACAGCCTTGATTACCCAGTGTCAGTGACTGGCTAATAAACTGTAAAAGTATTCCTAATAAGTTGGTGTACCTAGCCCCTGAAGCCTAATTGGTCTAGTCCAGTAGGTCTAGAGACAGTGTTTTTCAAAGCCTTTTGTCTTTCTTTGCTTCTTTTTTTAATGATTGTGTTGAAATAGTGGAGTGGTTTGAGAGCTGTTAGCATTCAAACAATACATTTGTACAACTATTTCATGATCATATTTCTGGCCTTGTAAAATCTTGCTCAGTTTTGACCTCTTGAGTATAATTTAGTCCTCTTATAGAGGTCTAAAAGAATAAACCTAGGTGTAATGTTTCCTTCTAGTCACTGACTCATTTCCATTCCTCATCTCACTTATTCTGGGCTAAAATTGCCTTTCCATGTAACTTCTGGGTACTAGTGGCACGTCAGTAAGGCTCTGTTCAGGGCTGTATCACTGAATCCTTATGTCGATATAGCCTGAGAGAGAGATGGTTGGTCTGTGCTGAGCTGATGCACCAAAGGGTTTGTGTGACCTACCAACATTTTTGTCTTCAAGGTTGTAAAAATAAAGGAAAGAAACACATGAATGAGGTCACCCTTCGTGGGATTGGTGTGCACAGTGGCTGTCTCTTCCTAGGAAGATGAGAAATGAGTGCACACTTCTTTTTGTATGTTACAGCAGTGACTTCTAAATGCATTTTTATTCAAGTAGAAGTTTTACAGCTTATAAGTTTCTCCTGTTTTGTGTGGGTCAATCACACAGCAAGCGGGAAAAGAAAAGCACTTAAAGTTGGTTAAGGTGATTAAAATGGCAAGAGATTTGGCAACAAGTATAGTATCTGAATTTGTTTACAATGTTTTTTATATTACTGTCATATTTCCCATAGGCTAATTTGTGGGTGCCTATATACTCGAT